ACAGATAACTGACAGAAGGACTAACGGTGTGCATTTTTTAGAGTTGAGGGATCAAAAATGTGCAGAAAATTCTTTAGGGATCAAAAATGTGCAAATGGATAAAGTTGAGGGACCAAAATGAGCATTTAACCAAAAAACAAAAAAGGGTTTAGGTTGTATAATTTTTCGAAACACCTCTTCTGCTATTCGAGGCTTCGCTTCAACTAATCCGGACTCGACCTGCGTCGCGCACCTGGAAATGGTGGGTGAATCTCCCAGCGAGGGCTGCTGCATTCACAAGGTTTCAAACTCGAAACCTTACTTAAGCTGGAACAAGCCGTTTACCACTTGATCCAACCCCTCGTTGGTTCGAAACACCTCTTAAAAGTTCATTTATAATGATTAAATTAATTCTAATTAATGTTTTAGATAATTTCATGCTCATATTAATGTATAAGAATTTTTTTAAAATAATTATTAAATAATAATAACAGAATTTAAAAAAAGAATAAAACTTTATGTTAAGTCTCTAAATCTATTTTAAATTTTTATTAAATCCTTAGATTTTTGTTAGAATTAATAAAATTTTAAATTTAATAATTTGTGCAATTTAACCATTTTTTTTATAATTAATGCTCATTTATATTTTGTTAACATGAACAATATCATACCTACCACCTAAATAATAATAATGTCAATACTTTATTCATATAAATAAAATGTAAATGAATATTAAATTCATCATTAAAAAAATAATTAAATTACCAAATTATCAAATTTAAAATTTTATTTATTTTAATAAAAATTTAATCAAACATATGAGAAGATGGTAAGATTTTGCCTAAAAAGAGTCTACAACAACTTCATTTTGACAATAATTCTAAACACAACATTATTCCTTTCTTAAATGGTCATTTTTGTGGGGCCCAGTGGCGATCCGAGACATCTGGCGGAAATTCGCCACGCCACGCGAGCAAATTGTGCCACTGCTAGCTATCCCACACTCTCTCTCTCTGCGCAACCACTGCTAGCTCCTCCTCCTCCTCCTCCACTCTAGCTTTAGCTCTCTCTGGCTCTCGGGCTTGGAGGTTTCTTCTCTGAGATTCCAATCCCAAACACAGCCTCTTCATCTTCACTTCATTCTCTCTCTCTCATTTCCTTACTGAATCAAATCCTGCTTTTCTTCCTCATAATCTCAATCTTCTTCGCCATTTTCAGGTAAAAAGAGGTATTTCTATTTTGCAGAGCTTTGACGATGATGCGGGGCTTTTTGCGGTGACGGTGACAATAGAGAGAGATCTGGTGGCGTGGTGTTGGGCCGAGGCGAGAGATGTACACGGCCGCACGGCCTCCTCAACTCTCTGATTCCAACCGCCAAATCATCGGGACCAATGCTCCTAACGTCCGGGTCTATCAACTTTGGAAAAGAACCAATGTATTTTCCATTTCCTTCGTTTTTTCTTCTTGTTTCTTTTATAATCTGCCATTCTTGAATAATAATCAATATGGTAAGGTTTTGAATGATATGAATTAAATTTGGGAACAAATGAAGGAATCCTGAATAATGATTTTTTGATTCTTAGAACAAAATAATGGATAGACAAAATACAATACTGAAATGCACTCGCGGGATTCATAAATTATAGTAATTTTCTTAGTTATTTTGTGAATTTTGATTTATATTCAGTTAACTCAGATGATGTGGAAATGGAAGCATGTATCAAGGCAAATGCTCTACATAAACAAAGAAGTTCAGGGTTGATCCTGACTCAAATACTTTTCTGGGTGATTTTGTGTGCCATTGAATTCTTTGTATCTCCGCAAGTCTTGCAGTGTGAATGTTACTACTAGTGTTTCATATCTGTCATCTGACCTCTGTTTAACCATGTTTAAATGTGGTACATGAGAAGAAATGGATAGCAGTTACTTTTCAGTCTAATTGATTTGCATCATTTGTGTCACAGGAATGACTTAATATGTACAATGTATGTTAATCTTATTATTGTAGCATTGGTAGAGATCTTTGCTCCCCCCAACTTATCTATTTGTATGGCAATCTGGATAACTTCTTTGTTGTACGATTTACCATGTTGCTACAACAGTTTTTACCATTTCTGTTTATTAGGTGGGCAATATTGTTTTATTCGTCTAAATCTTCTGCAGAGATTCTGCCTTGGAGGGAGACTCATCTTTGGTCCAGATGCGGGATCAATATACCTCACAGCCTCACTGATTTTGATCCCAGTAATTCTGTTTTGTGCTTTTGTTTCTCAGAGGCTCATTCATGAATTCCAACACCATATGGGCAATCTAATAGTAGCTATATGTGTCGTCTTCACTGTATATGTGAGTTCTTCCTCTGAAGCTGTCCTTTTCCTAGTCTCATCCAGGGTTTTAGATATGTTTACGTCTTGCTTGCAAATATTGCTGGATTTGCTTATACAAAAATCGTGTTAATTAAAAAGTCAGTAGGGAAGCTGATAAAAGAAAAAAAAAAAAAAAAAAAAAAAGGTCTGTGGAGAAACATTGAGAGTCTTGTTTGTCTTCAATTGATATTAATATGGTTTCTCTATACAGAGTTTAGCTCAATTGTAGCTAGGCACAAAATTTGACCTTGCTCTGAGCTATAAAGGTACTTCCTCATCAAGTGTGCAATCTGCTGTGTCGTAAGGACATGGGGTGTTAGTTGTGAAATATATACTCATAATAATGAGTGCCTCTTTTGTGCTCAATTGTAATCAATCTCCTGAATCCTGTTGTAACCAGGCTAATTCTGAACCATTAAACATCCTCTATGCTGTTGGAACAATTTGGTGACTAAGTAATAATATTGTTGGCTTACTGACTGTTTCAGGACATAATTTTTCTCCTCCTAACATCTGCAAGGGATCCTGGCATTATTCCTCGTAATTCACATCCTCCAGATCCAGAAGATGATTCCTCAAGTTTGTCTGCAGATTGGGGTGGAAGTCAAAACGGTGTTTCAACTATACCATCTACCAAAGATATTGTGGTTAATGGGATGATAGTCAGGGTCAAATACTGTCAAACATGCATGTTATATCGCCCGCCACGATGTTCTCATTGCTCAATATGCAATAACTGTGTGGAGCGTTTTGATCATCACTGCCCATGGGTCGGGCAATGCATTGGTAAGGTAAATTTCAATCTTTGTTTTTTTTTTTTTCACATTATAAATCTTGATATTCCTTTCATTGTTGAATTTTCTTGCTAACATTGTGAAATTGTCCTAAGGTCCTGAAAACTTTAATTTCACATGGATCTTGCATAATTGCTCTAGTTACATCTGTATTCGTGCACAGTTTAATTCCTCTTGCTCTAGAATAATGTGTCTCTACTTTATTAATAGGACAGCTTAACATAGAAGAAGTTTAGATTAGATCATCTTGAACTTGAACCATGATTATTCACACCCTTCAAAACTTGGCAGAGTGTAGGATCTGTTTAGTACAGTTCCCCTTTGTAATTAGACTACTCAAAATGCTGGCATCAGTTGTGACAAGAGATCAACATTATTTTTTGCTTGTAATCATTTCTAAATATCTCTAAACTGAAACTGTATATTCTTACTGTTCTTCTTGCATAATACGATGCCTGATCATTTGCTAATTGCTTCTTATAGCAATGAGTGATTGAACTCATTTATTCTGGGAATTCCTTTCAGTTGGAGGGGGGATGCCATTTCACAAATTACCTGTGGTTGCACTTTACTCAGTCAGAGGCTTCTGCCTATATATACAGCCACATTGGCTGCCAACTGAACTTGCCTAATTTCAATTTTCCTGAATTCACTTAATTTGTGGCATTAGTTGAAGCATTCCAGAAATGCAAGTTGCTGTGACTGAATTACAGTCTAGGCTAAAACATTTGTCATCTCACCCTGATTGTGACTTTTTATATAAAATAGGAACATGATTTTTGTTAGCTTATCGATGAATTAGAAGAGGTTCAATATACACTAGCAAATTAGCATTTCATTCTAATTTTACTAGAAATTAAAAAATGCTTCTAACTTCGAGCATTATTGGCTGATTGTTATTGTATTTGTAGGTTGGCCAAAAAAAGTTTTTGTATTTTTAGGGTGTCTTCTTACTTTTCAGAAGCTAACATGTTAAACATGTCTTGATCACAGAGGAATTACAGATTCTTTTTCATGTTTGTGTTATCCACAACCATGCTATGCCTATATGTTTTTGCATTCTGCTGGGTAAACATTGCCAAAATAATGGGAGCATATCATTGTAGTCTCTGGAGGGCGTTTTTGAAGTCTCCTGTTTCATTGATTCTTATACTATATTCCTTTGCGACCGCTTGGTTTGTTGGAGGTCTGACTTCATTCCACCTGTATTTGATTTTCACCAATCAGGTCTCAATCTTTTCTTTGTCTTAATTTCTTCCAGTATTTGATTCTCTTTTCCTTTCCTTTATTTTTTACATTTTTAAGTTTTAAGTTGTGACTGATTGCTGGTTCTGCAGACAACTTATGAGAACTTCCGATATCGATATGATAGAAGGATAAATCCTTATAACCTTGGTTGTGCACGCAATGTTGTGGATATTTTCTTCTCAGAAATTCCCAAGTCAAAAAACAACTTCAGGGCAAAGGTCAAGTCGGACTCATCTTCTGTCTTGGCCAGTTCAATTTCACTTCGCTGTACAATGAATCCAGAGGTACCAAAAACAAGCTTTGACACGGAGATGGGGAAGAGGTGTGCTGTTGTTGCTGAAGATTTTGAAGAAATACAGAGGCAAATTGATGATGTTGGCAGGTTGGAAAGGTGTGCCACAGAGCCAAGACACATGCACTTGGATGAAAAGGCCAACTGGGAGATGACACCTGAAATGTGTAGGTTTGCTGCTGAGTTTGGAATGGAGCATGGTTTTACAGACAGGCAGAAGAGGCAGGGAGGAGGTAAATGAAGATTGTTTTTATGGCCTGAATTATAGTGGCAAAAAGACACCTATTGATCATATCTCCCTTGATATGGCCATCTTGGCCTGGCCCATCAAAATTTACAACCATGAGCGGAAAAAATTACCCACTAGAAGGTTGTTTAAACACTTTATTTCGTCTCTACGAGGAGGCAATGGCTATTCTGGCTTAGGTATGCAGGGGTGTACCTTGTAGATTAAACCAAATTGATAGGTACTTGGGGTAACCATTGTGCTGTATCGTGTTTGTTTCTCTGGGAATTTATTGGGTGCTGATAAATTACTCAGATACATCAAGGTCAATTTAAATCTCTATATCACAAGAGTGGAGGGAGCTGGTAGTTTATGTCTATAAAGAGTCATGGGACCATGTTTTGCCCCCTTTCCAATGTTCTACTTCTGAGTTCCTAGGCCCTTACCTGCTTTACAGAAGTTTAAACTTTCAAATTCCTTGATTACAAATTTGTTTGTCAGTATTCCTCAGAATTGTTTTCTCTGAAGCAAAAGCTGAACCTACTCAGTTTCACATAACTTGTGTGATCCAATATTTATTGATTATTGATACGTAATACATCTAGGAAGCTTCAACTCTCTTAAATGCTTTGATTCTGAATGTCTAGAGAAATTAGCAGAGTTACATTGTCTAAATTACTTTCGCAACTAATCTGATTTATAGGATTTTCCGGTACTTAGGTTCCCCCTTGCCATCGAAGGGGTGGATGATTATTAGTCCGTCAAAACCAGAAGCATCCGTTCATAAAACCTTGAAATCACTAGTTTTTCACCAATATGAATGCAAATTAGGGCACTCGAATCCCACCATGTTACCTTCATATCTTCTTTTCCCGCTGGTGCTCGGATTCACACCACCTGGTTCACCACCCAAGAAATTTACAGTCATTTTCTCCCCTTTGCCTCCCATATGCACTTCTCCCAACAGACTACCAGCATTTCCATTTCCTGAGTGCACAAAATGGGGAGACTCAAAAAGTGCTGTTTGAGAAACAGAATGACGAGGTCTTGAATCCTCCGGTGAGTGCTCTTCAATAATCAAGCTATTGGCGCCTACAGCATTCAGCCCCAAGTTAGAGGAGCCTTCGTGGGCAAATACAGATGAGTTGGTGCTGCTTGAAGAGTAACCGGTGAAGCCTCTGAGGAGAATAGGAGCTATGGTATTGTCACTGATCTTGGCACCCATTTCTGCTGCTTTCTGTAACAAGGCTGTTGCAGATGAGTTGGGGGATACGAGTGCTATGTATGGTGCCCTTGACATTCTTTGGTTGAAAAGTGGGCCTAAGTTGCTCGAGTTCATGACTCCGGCTGAGCTCAAGGATGATGGCCTTGAAGAATTCTCAGTGTTCTCGTTAGAAATGGAAACGGATGCATTTGTGTTTGAGCAGGAATTTGAACTAGGCACCACTGAAGTGAATAGCTCTTGCTGCTCTTGGCTCTGAAACATTCCTTCACCAGCTGTAAGGTTCGTGTTCACCCTGTAATTTTCTTCTGCTAATGCATCACAGAATGCTCTATGCGTGACAAAGCTGTCCTTTCTGTTCAAAACAAGTTGGTTTAAGAAAGAAAGCAATAAAAAGAAGTCATGGAAGCTGATTCTAGAAAGTTTCAATATCTATAGTAATTGTTGAGATGGATCATGAGGCTTTTGATGATAGTGATGGATTATAGAGGTGAATCATGAAACTCATGATGATGAGGGGATAGATGAGATGGTGGCATCAAAGCATCACGCTGGTTATCTATTCCATCATCATCAGATGATCATTATATATGAGACGGGTGGGATAAAAGTGGAAGGAAGAAGTGATGATGCGTCTCATCTTCTTCTTCTTTCTCTTCATCTATCCCATCACCATCAATGCCTTCCATTATCGTCAGTGATAAAATTTATCAGAAGGGGTGCTGAGAGATTTTATAAGGCTGTGAAGGAAGAAACAATCGTAAGCAAGCGATATGGGGTTGGTGCAACTCAAGTTGCATTTTTCCACATCGGTTGTTAAAGGGAAGGCAGGAGATATGATTCATGAGTCAAGACTCATGTTCTAGGAGATTAATCTACTCAACTTGAAACTGCTGTCTCCTACTAGAGCTAATACCATGGAACTCTTAAGGCTTTACCTTGAAAAAATGGTGCCACAATCACACCAGTATTCACGTGTGCCACATATCTTGGTGTGAGCTAGCCTTCCAATCTGATTGAACAGCATACCGTTTTGAGCACTTATCACACTTCCACTTCTTCTCTCCATGCTTCCTGCAGAAGTGCTTCTTGATGACAGTTAAATCACCAAGAGCGCGACTAGGGTGATGGTGCACACAATTTGGCTCAGGACAGACATACACCCTCTTCTTAACCTGTGTATTTGGCCTTTGCTTCAGCTTCCAGGGAAGGCTGTGTTCTCTCCTGTGCAGCTGCAGATTCTGATCCCTTTGAAACCCTTTATGGCACACTTCACAAACATACCTATTTATAGCCATCAAAGTCCTTGGAGATAATGCTACAACCTCAGCCTCCGGGTCTGTAAAAATGTACACGAAAGGAGTTTAAACTTGAAAATACTTTCAACTTAATCAGTAAAATATGCATGAAGTAGGGGTGAAAGGCCTGCCTGGATTCCCTGGAAGATTTCTTTTCTTCTTTGAAGTTGTAGGGGTCGGAGTGTAGCCCTCACATCCATTTTCAGTTGGGTTAGGACTGTCTTTCGATGACTGTGAGATGATGGTGCTCTGGAACTGTTCATCTTCTTTAAACTTCCGAGCAAAGTTCGACATGTTTGTTTAGTTTATGATACTGATATTTGTTGGGAGATCAGAGCAGATAATATATGCTCATGGAAGCAAGGATTTGGGAAGCAGACAAAAAGAGGAAGAAATTCAATGCCAGACTTTATCAAAGACTGGGGTCCAACGTTGAAGATTGGATTGGCCCATTGGAATTCTTTTGATAGCATCATTGTTTCAAACAATATTTGTTAAAATCAAATGTCAAAGTGAAACAGACATCATTGGCCTAAACCTGCTTGTCTTTTTCAAACCTGCTTGTCTTTTTCCCACCTGCTAAATAAGGTATGAATTTAGTAATCCTAGTTTGCAAAATTTTTAGGGACTGCATCTTAATAATTACCGAAGTCCAAGAGAACTAACACGAATAATACAATTAGAAAAAGTAACAATCTCTTACTATATAGTTCACACTTAGGCTTGTTTGGCATTCAGTTTTTGGGGAAATTGTTGTTCCAGAAACTATTCTGGAGGTTTGACAACTAAGACTAAACAACACTTTCATGATAATTTTTTTTTGATGTAACACTTTCATGATAATTTAATCAACTAAAGTCGACACTTTCTCAAAAAGTTTATCTTTTGAGAATTCCAGCTAAAAGCACTAATTTTAGTCCACTAAACACCTTATAACAGTTTCTAGAAATAACATCTTCCATAACAGCATTTTTCCTCGAAAACTACATATCAAACGAGCCCTTAAATGTAAGTTGTAACCAATTAAAAATTATCACAAATGCTTTGACCTTAAGAATTAGTTGGAAGCTGTTTAATACAGCCAAAAGAGTCTCAAACAAATTGAAAGGATTCATGGAAAAGAATGCCAAAGGAGATATCCATACGACGAGACAAGTTTTGCCTTCCATACCTTACCGCCTTCCATGATCCAGCTAGTGGGATTCCCATCACAAAATTTGGCATATTTGTGTTTGTCATTTCTAATTGTTTCTTACTCCTATTGCCTTGAATAAATGACCTCACTTTTGTTTGTAATTCCATAGAAGCTAAACTATGTTCCAACAATTGAAAGGCACAAAGAATTAACACTAAAATATCTTAGAGACACTCCTGTATGTACCGTAAGTAAATAGCCACAAATACGTTTTATTTAGTAGCCATCCTGCTTCCTTTTACAAGCTTACTCAAATCTCACATGTCATTCCAACCTTAAGAAGCCTGCTATGTGGGATTACCAATACATTTTCGCCTTGCCAGAAGTTTTTGCTCAGAATGTTGTACAGATAGTTCACAACTATCTTCTTGAACAAGGATGAATTTTTCTTGGCAATCACTTCTGCCTCTCCTAAGAGATAGACCACTCCTTCCTCCATTGCTTTCTGCACAAACTGCATTTCCTGTTCAGCTCTATGGGCAGCCAGTTCGGAGTTGATTTGACAACATGAACTGTGGATGAATTTCTTTAAGTGTTCCACCAACTGTTTCTCGAACTTCTCAGGTTGTTCCATCAAATCTTTATAGCCACATCTCACCTCACAGTGAAACATCCAGTGTTCTTTTGGCTCCACCAGTCTAAATAGAAACCTATCTTCCCACGCAACTTTGCTAATAGGAACTTTCTTGATTGAGACAAACACTAGAACAGAATGGATGGAGTGGAAATTAGCAATAAAATGAGGAAACACAGGAGGTATTCCCTGGACAAGCTCAGAGTAAAAAAGCCCCAATCCCGGCACCCTGTTTATTCCTGGATTTGCTGCTAATTGTCTAATGAATTCACCGGAGACCTTGTTCTTCAGCTCAAACATGATTCTTTTTCGGTGCACATGATGCCATGTCCCCATAACTGTCATTAGGAAGAAGGAGAAGGCCAGTGGAAGGTAGCCACCTTCTATGAACTTGTACAGGACAGATGAGAAATATACAGCCTCTATGGTGCCAAAAGTCACAAAGAAGAGAGCAATCCAGAAAATGCTTGTCTTCCAAGTAACAAGCATGATAAGAGTAACCATGCATGTTGTGATCAACATTACAGCAACAACTGCAATTCCTGTACCCAAGAGAAAAATATTGTTGTTAGTCTTTGTTTCTTTACCACTTTTCTCTTATTGTTAACAATGAACATGTTTCGGCATATCATCATACCAAATGCATAGCTGATCTTTTCTGTGGTTTTGAAGCAGATAGTGACTACAATGCAAGCAACCATTAGCATGTAGTTGATCACGGGTATATAAACCTGGCCTTCATACTTGGCAGAGGTATGAATTACCTTAACTCTTGGGAAACATCCCAGACTTAAGGATTGAGATATAATTGAAAATACTCCTGATATCATAGCTTGGCTTGCAATGATGGCAGAAAAAACAGCAATCAAGAATGTTGGCCAGTATAATGGTCCTACATGCATATTGTACAAATATGATTAACACTGACAACTAATTCTCTGGATATATATCATTCATGTAGCTGTTAATTAGCTCTGTCCCGCTTCTTTTAATGGGAAACTTACTTGGCACTGATTTGTAGAAAGCATCAATTACATCGTAGGGGTGTTTTGTAAGATAAGCAGCTTGTCCACTATATGCAGTAAGTAAGGCAGGCAAGACAATTCCAGAGAAACTGATCTGCAGTTCCATGAAGAAAACAATCTTTTTTGTCATTGAAACAAATATTGTTTCAAACTTCACTTTTTGTCCTCTTAGTTTACCATTATTTTTTTTTTTTTGTAATTAAGAAGCAAACAATCCTTAAGACCTTCAATCTCCAGCCAGAGATTTTTAGAGTTGAACTTAGAAGTTCCATAATGATGAATTTGTGATCTCTTCCTCATTTCTTCCAATTTATTAACTTCATTTAATTTGGAGCTTTGGAGCTTTGGAGCTTAAGAAGCAAACTTCTGTGAAGAGAGAATGAAATGGAATTTGTATATATAACCATACTCACTTGAATTGCTTGAACATCGAAGTGACCAAGATCAGCAAACATTGCTTCTGTCCCTATTTACAGAAAAATGAAATTGAAGTGACCAAGAACATCAACATACATTAAGCCAACAAGAAAAAAGGACTCAAAATAACATGAAAATGGCACTACCACCCCAACCTGTAAGGCAAAGAACCACTCCACCAAGAGAAATCCATCCTTGCTTGCCGTTTCTTTTAAAGAAATGGACAATGTAAATCGGATTAAATGCACACAACACACCAGACCCATGCGTGATAAGGTTATACAAACCAATTCCAGTGATGAGGGTAAACCACAAGCAGATGATTGGGGCAAATGAGGTCCCCACTTTATCAGTGCCAAATTGTTGAACTGAGAAGAGAATGATCAGAATTACAACTGACACTCCCACAACTGCATCTGCAATTCAATAATGTTACATAAATAGATAACAAAAAGGAGTCCGACTCAAAATGTTGCTTATATACTTTATAGTTACATACCCTGGGACTTGATGCCACTCATTGCAGATAGAACTGCATGTGTAAGAAATTCAGAAGAGGTTTAGCCTAAAGTCTAATAATGATGAAGAGGATGTATAAATTTATATCCAGGGAAACTACCTGAGACACTTGGAGTAAGAACCCCATCTCCAATTACCATGGAAGTTCCCATGATGCTGACAATGAAAAGCAGAAATTTTGCAGTCCTACTGTTCTCAAGCTTCTTTTTTATCATAGAGGTGCGTCTCAACTGGTTAGATGGTGGAGACACCTCAATATCCTCCGCCTGGAGATCATCTGGAATTAAGCTGACCTTTGCATTACGGCATATTATGGAATAGAGAGCGAATGTTCCCCCTGCAATTACATTTCACTCGTTAACTTGAACAAAACCTTCAGATCATGAAATTTTCTTGTAGGTGCTTTGAACAAAATTTGGTGTTACTTTTTTTTTTTTTTATAAGGGCAATGGTTAGTAATTTAGTATTGTTAGATATTAGCAATTGGGGATTCGATCCCAAGATATGGTGAACAGCCCACTGTCAATGAGGCGCGCAGTTATCGGGCTACTTGGTGGAGTTCAAATTTGGTGTTACTTTAGTTAGTAAAGGTTGAGTAAAAAAGAATTTCAGTCCTTAAGGTATGGATGTTACTGTAATATTTGTCAAATTTTGTACCTAATGAAACTCTGTCTAGAAAAGTATATTCTGCTCTGTGTTCAATTCATGTTTCAGTTTCTACAACAACCAATAGAAACCAGTCACCATATATATACCAAACCATGTGTAGATTGTGTTTCTTCATACCTTCCCCTTTTTCATTTGCCCTCAACACAATGAAGGTATACTTGATGAAGGGCAAGAGAACAATGGAGTAGATGATGAGGGAAAGAACCCCAAGAATGTCTTCTGTGTTGCCAATTCCATTAGGGAATGTGTTGGAAAATACATATAGCGGAGATGTCCCAAGGTCTCCATACACCACTCCAAGACTCTGAAATGCCAAACTCATCATCTTCCTCCAATGCACCTTCAAGTATAAAAGTAGTTGAATCGAGTCAATTCGTGCAGAGAAAAATAAAAATAAAAATAAAAACTTACAAATCAGGAGTGAATTAGTATTTTAGCATATTGACAGACCTTGAAGGAATGGCTCTGTGCAAAGGAGAGTCTGCCAGCTTCCAAATTGTGAGAGTCCACACTTGGCAGCCCTTGCATTGTCGCTGTAGTCTCATTTTTCTCCAAATTCTCTGACATTTTTGTAATGGACGTTTTCCTCTTGCTTTCTGCTGTGACGGTAATTGTTGCTTCCTCACCAATTTATAGGCAAAAGACAAAAGTATCTGTGATTCTATGCTATGGCTTCCTATTCCCATTTTTGCAAATGTTTGGCGTTTAATTGAAATACTCATCTGCATGCTTCCTTGGTAAAATTCGTAGCGGTAAATTTTTCTGTCAAACATTAGCAGATTACAAAATTAGAGGTAATACTCTTCCATCCTTTTTCTTCACCGATTCTAGTACTTCAAACACATAAACCCTAACTCCACCACAATGTAATAATTCATTCATGTTAATTAGGTGAAAATTTTGTCCACCACGAGTATATCACAAGAGAGGAAGTAACACTCTTCAGTTTTCTTCTCTTCCCACCTCAAAATCTCATACAGGAAAAGTCCAACTTCAATGCTAACACGACAAAGTATGTCTGCCCTTATTTTCATATCTTTCCTTTTACTCCTACTGGTACAAAACACTGATTCCCATTGCATTTTCAATTTTTTCTTAAAAGTTTGCACCAAACTTCCTCTAAACTTGAAGCAAATCATATTCTTCTCTTGAAATTGGGTGGTTGGCTTGGCGTAATGGCATGAATGGTTGTTTTCACTGCTTCTGTAGTTCTACTCAACTGCCTGTAAGAAAGCATTCAAGTTTTCCAGATTCCTTTTGAGTAAATGCTATATTTGAGAAAAAAAACGTGTCAAAGTAAGGCAATTTGCAGTTTGCTCCCATGTGCATGCATAATTATTCGCCCAAATAATTTGTTTTCTATCCTGCCAAAAAACCTCCATAAAATTCTTCACAATTTCAAATTTTATGAATTTGATTTTCCATATATGACTAGAGAGTTGCAATAATTTAGACAGTAGGGCTATTTTGTGTTGATGAGTCTTCCTACAAGTGACATCCAGTGCATTTGCTGACATTTATTTTCCCTTTTTTGATAACTTGGACTTTTGAAACTTTGCTTTAAACCTTAAGTACTGAGCAATATAACATATCAATTTTGGAAATCACAGCTTAATTACGGTT